TATTTTACAGTTCAGTCAATTTGATATGACACTATAAAAGTGTTAAACAAACCACACACCAATCGTTAGAGACGAATATTAAAACAACCATTTCTATCGCAAACTGGTACTGCCTAATGGTCACTTCAAACTCAAATGACGTTGGATATGACACATATCATAGTTGAGGTCAGTAATCTAGTACAAAATTTGGATAAAATAATGTGTACACGACTTTTACGTTGAGTAGTTAATGATTGAACTCACAAACACGGGTACTGGGTAAGGACTCAAGAATTAAAGACCAGGAATCTGAGTGATTGCACTTCTAAAGTTTTGTTTTAAGCATTTTTACAGTTCAGTTATTTTACTGAAGTTATTACAGGCCAGTGACATTATAATACATTGAATTAAAGTCGTGGCACTAGATAAACCAACAAATAAGAGTTTTATACCTTCAAACACGTACATTATAGTAACATTGCAAACTTAGTTTTTTGAGATATTAATGTTAATTTACTTTGAATAATTGTTCATATTGTGTTAAACGCAAATTCTATGTTAAACTTAGGCGACAAAAGATTTCAGGTGAATATGTAAGTAAGAGCATCAATCTTTATTGTTTAAGTAGTGAAGAACATACATTGTTTGCCATGACTTTAACTCTCAGATACAACCATTTTATTGACTTTTTCACTTTACACAATGATCTCAAAAGAACCTTTGATTATAAATCAAGTACTTATTCAAAATCATTATATTCGGACTGTACCCATATGGGCTTTTTCTTCTGGGGAGTACTCAAGGACAAAGTGTATAGTAAAAAATAGCGGAATGTTGACAAAATGAAAGGGTACATCACAGACAAATTTACAGAACTTGATGGGCAGATATACTTGTGTTTGTAGAAGTGTGGCAGGCAGAATCTAGAATTGTGTGAACACCTGCGGAATTAATTTGGGATTAACGTTCTCATAATTTCATGTCACGTGTAAAGTGCCGTGAAATAAATTATCAACTGTATGCTTTAATTTTAATCTAATTACTTTAAATGCATTATCAATTACCAAAGGTATACCTAATTTTGAGCCACCCTGTAAATATCACCTCATATTGTTCTGAAAGCGAGCAAAGGAAGATCTAACGTAGTTACGTTGTATTCCTACATATCCCATAAGTGAGACCCATAACCTGAACCTCTGATTTACATAATTAGCTTGTTTGTCACATGGCAAGTTCCTGGAAATAAAAAAGGCAGATAAGATCTTCATTGATTGCACCTTACAAAACCTGTTTCATGAATCGTGTCTCTAATATCAGGCAAAAAGTCAATAGCAAAACTTCAATTCTGGTCTGACTAGTCTTGTAGAAACGGAGGCAAGTATCAGGCAGGCGGTAGCGCTGCCTGGGTAGGGATGGTCCGGATTGTTCATCGAAATGGCATTTTCAATATATCTTTAATAGGTCATCAGAACTTTATAATACTATAAAGTGTTTTCTTTTAAAACAATATTTATGTAATGACTGAGTCACAAGTTCAGTGAATGTCTGTAAATATCAGCTAAAAGTTTGAATTTCTTCTTCTTCTTTTTTTATTATATATTAATTCAAAAACCAAAACAATGGTGTCAATCCATTTCCCTGATGTGACATAGTTTCAAACGGAGTATCCACTTTTATAAGTATCATTAATTAGTAATAATTAAACAAAATCATAATTCTAGTATAAACGATGATATCTTTACTCCTTGAAGCTAGATATTTTACAGACATTTAGTGTTCCCGTAAAAAGGTTAAGTACAGGGTGAAAGAGGAATAACCAGCCAATAATAGATAAACAATAAATATTACAGCTGGAAATCATTGTATTTGGAACTTGTTTGTAACTACAACTTTCCTATGTCTATTGAAACATCGCATTAAAAAAAACAAGCAAACAAGTAAAGAAAAACCTTTCCAAAAAAGGAAGTAATTGTAGGGATGGCTAATATCAATCCTTCATAAACAATGCAAACAAGATAGTAGGGATGGCATTTGCATCATCCCTACATAATAGCACAGGCACACAGTGTAGTAGAATATTAACAGACAAAAATAGGATAAATTGATTGAATATTTATACCTATTACAATATGATAATTCCTGCCTGTGCTATTATGAAGAGATAATGCAAATGTCATCCCTACTACCTAGTTGGAATTGTTTTCAAACGATTGATATTAGCCATCCTTACATTTACTTCCTTTTTTGAATTTTATTCTTTATTTGTTTAATTGTGAACCGAGTGAAATATCTAACTGTTGTGGTATTACTGTCACATAGAAAACACCATAAGCCAGATCCAGGAGTTTCAATGAAATACAACAAAAATGATTTTCGAAATCAATTTGTTATTCAAACTCGTTTTATTCAAACATAAGAATCTGAATCAAAACTCTTCGTTCCTGTGACTGTTTATCTGGAGGGTGGCTCATGTTATATTAATGTTGGATCTGTATTCGATTCAAATCAAAGAAGTGTTTAGCAGTATATGTAAAACCTGTAATAGTCAGGAAGTAATTAAATTAATTATGAACCTATCTCCCCTCAACACTATATATATACAAAATATAACAAAATAAATCACTCCAAGTAATATATATGCTTTGGAACCATCCTTGAAAAGCAGCCTAAGTTTTAGCACTTAATTCTAACGCAAAGCTAGACAATGTACTATGCTGCACTCTGACCACCGTGCGGAATCAATCCCTGGATTTTAACAAAGTAATTCCGTTAACTTACCGCTGACCGACAGGAGAACATTGGGAGTATAAGCTCATTTATTGTCTTGACTCAAGACAGAAAATAAGTCATTGATGCACCGAACCTCGAGATGACCGAAGGTTCAATTTGGCACTAAATAAATCTATTTGGTTTCAGTTCGATTAAATAGAATATCATTAAAGTGGTTTAGGTTCGACAAAATTAAACTTCAAAATACTGGAGTTTTGTTCGTTTTTTTCGATTTTTGTTTTTGTTTTTGCTTAAAACCGAAATTTCACTGTTAAGTCTTTTGCAAAAGAAAATATGTAAAAGATTTTGCAAACACTTTTGTTAAGTTTACACAGTAACAGAAAGAAGAATGTCCGAAAGTAGGGGATATTGAAAGTTGAATGACAAAAGCAATAGAAATTTCTATTTTGTTGCAGTTTATACATTAAAAGCTAACTATACTCATTTTTGTTTCTATGCCTATGTGTTTGTAATAATTAACTTGCTAACAAAAAACAAAAGATTTTCATCATACATACTATATACAGGTAACAATAAAATTGTAACGTTTTTTTCACCGCTAAAAATTTTATTAGTATTATTCGTTTATCTAAAAAAAACAACAAGGACCCCTGATGGCTTAACAGTAAGCTACAAATCTGCGTTCGATCCTTCTGGTCAGCACAGCCCTAAAGAGATTTAAATCCTGGTGCCACGGAAGTACATTTCTGGATATTATCTTGTCTTTCTTGTCTCCTGAAGATGAGAATGTTCCAAGAAGACATGTAGAGCTTCTTATTAGTTTTGTATTGCTTTTAACTTTATATAATAAATTATTGTGCGTGTTATAACTGAAAATTATGACTAAATGTTCTAATATTCACTGCATGTGATACCCTTTTCTTCCTTTCAAAAAAGGCTCAATATTCTTCCATTACTAGCAAGTTTCATTTTCCAAACTATACGTTTTTTATTTACAATGCCAATTTTATATGGAGATTTCGGATCATGTTTATTGAGTGTTGATTTAGAAAATTAATAAAATTTTAATGTTCCGATCAAAAGACGACACGGATTTATAAAAAGTAAAATTTCAAATCCATGTTTACCTTAGGTATTCCAGCTAAGTACAATTAAAAGATTCGCAATGATAATGAAGAATATTTAAATTACTAGTGTTACACAATCAAATAAAATTTAATTAAATGATTTACCATTAATAATGTTTACAACAAATCAAAATCTTTAAGGATAAAAATTGAATTACTTTGTTTCTCGTAAGGTTTTAATATGATAATTGGGATTTAATTTCAAACTTAAATATTTTACTCTAGAAGTATCTTACTTGTTATAATTGCCAAATTGTGTGAAATTGGAGACTCTAGAACTATCTTACTTGTTATAATTGCTAAATTGTGTGAAATTGGAGAAAATGAAACCGATAACAGAAGACATACTTAATTATACACATATACACACACACATATACGCACACACACACACACACATATATATATACACACACACACATACACATATAATGATTGTAAAGTGTCCGAACTAACGAGATAGTGGGAAAAGTAACAGGCCAAACAGTTTTCTAACAATAAATGTAGTTACGTGTATGGTCCAAGTAACGCAATCAAACACAGAACACACAAATGTTTTATTTCGCCTTCTTTGTGAATATCTTATTTATATGAATTTATCCATGTCTGAATGAAGAAGAACAGTTGTGTCTGAGGTTTCTGTTAACTTCTAATTATAGAATTAGCTTTTTTTTATAGAAATTCCACTGCTTAGTGTTAGTCAAAAATGTGGCAAAAAAAATAAACCTTTAACAAGTACTTAGATTAAAGTGAGTAAACGTCTGCTTGTGGATGACTACCAAGACACCAGACTAGTCGAAGTAAGTTATTCAGGAATGATCAAGTACTTGGATCTCATGAAAATGTTTACATTGAAGTACTAATAACATTGCGCCAAAGAACTTTACTAAAATAGAGAAATTAAAATAACTAAAAACAATCAGGTAAGAAAGCTTTACTCTTCAAAATAAAGATACAAATACTACAATATAACAGTGAAACTAATACTCAAACGATGGAAGACCACTATTCTCCTAAGTCGGTGTTTGCAGCAATCCATCTTATATAGTGTGAAACCCTAGTATAAACTCCAGGGTACCCTGGTTCAGCACAGTTCAAGCCAAATGACACAATTCCCACTAGTGTCCATCGTCCACTTTCTTCTAGTACCAGAGGTCCTCCAGAATCACCCTAAAATATGTAAAATGGAATAATACTGTAAAATAATCGCTATTTTAATGCATACTAGAACATTTTAATTTCATCAACATACTAGTTTCTGTGCTATTACTCTCAGCTAACAAAAATGTATAGATGATGATTAAGTGAATTCTGTATTTCATCACGCACCTAAGAAGATTCTTAAAATTTTGGGCAATGACCAAATACATCGGGAAAAGTACAATAACTACAATTACGAAAAATATGGTGATTTGCAGTGTACAGCGCCTCAGCATATCTGTTCTAACGTATCTTAAAAGTACTCATAAACTTTGGAGAATAAAATTACAACCTTTTTTTCAGGAGGTGCGAAAAGTAAAGTACTTCAACAAGTTTCCATCCCTGTTGTATCGAACAAGGCCTGCAACAAATCCTATTCAAAAGTAGCGTTGTCGAAGTATCCACAAGGTATCACTAGAGGGCAGATCTGTGCTGGATTGTCTGAAGGAGGCAAAGATGCATGTCAGGTATTAATTACCTTCTTCTGAGATAAAATATTTAATATTAAATATTTACATGTTTCTAAAGTAACCTGTAGCCTTAAGAAGTAAACTGATTTAAATGAAGATACTTCATATATATTTGCTTATAACTTGAGCAGAATTAAACCTACTTATGTGAATATACACGTCATAATCTTTGGTAAAACCATTTTTCTGTTGTACTTACAGGCTTTCTTTACCACAAATATTATGTGGATCATTCTCTAGTAGTAAATCTATTAAAATACAATCTCGACAGAAAGAAGTATTGACGAAGAGTTTAATTAAGAAACACCACGATACTGTATTTCGTAAACCCAACAAGTTAAGTGCTACTAACTACTTAACTAAAGTATATTATAACATTTGATCTTAAAAGTCTTTATAAAACGTTATTACAGTGGCCAATAGAGTAAATTATATTACTTTTGTCATTTATATTTAATCTGTTATTTTCTTAATTTAAATGTATTGATTGATATTCTTTATCCAGTATTTGGATGGGTAAGTTAATAAATAATCTAATGATAAACTAAAGTAAATCAACGGTTATTAAAATTAACTAAAAATAAGTTTTAAAATCGAACATACCAAAAAACGTATCTCCCCAGCCTGTGACAGTAACCTCTCTTCCTTTAAAGTCTTGACCAACAAAGGAAGGCTTAGGTAAACAGACTGGTTTGACTTTATCATTCAGCCTGACTTCTCCTTTAACTTTCAAAACAGCAATGTCGTGATAGTTCTGACTGGGCTGGTAGCGTTCATGTACTATAACGTCTTCTACGTCATAATTTGTTCCATCTTTCAGAGTGTGACCTCCCACACGAAATGTATACACAGATGGAGAACTGCAGATGGATGAATGTGTTCAAAAGGAATAAAATACAAATTTGTTTGATAGTAATAAATATCATACAATGAAATATATACAATGCAAGGTTCTGGGACACACTATCAAAGACTGCGTGAGATGCATATTTACGAAAAACCATATTAATTTATAACAATGTTCTTTTTACTGAACGCGTGTATTCTCTGTATATACCTGAAACTGATTTAAATGATATCATTATAGGTTTTTAGATGAACAGTCTTGAATCTTTCCACATGTTAAATAATTTAGTTTTACAGCCTTAATTTGTTTTTATCCTATTACAAAATCCAACTTTTTTGAAACTCGTCCCAAGAATTGTGCAAAAAAAATTAAATAAAACTGTGAAACTATATATATATACAATTTGTATAATAGAAACTACAGTGACTAACTTCAAATGTGTCAGAATAATACAGAAAAAAAACTATAAATCTATAATTATTTCATCAATGATGAGTGTATATATCGGCGACAGATTCTGCTATTAATAATTTTGTTTTGACTTATTATCCCAGTGTAAAAGGAAATAAAGACGGCATTTTAGA